TCATGAGTTCTATTTGCCTGACTTCCAAATGCCGAGAGTGTTAGTGAACAGTCCCTTAATATTCATGGGATTTTCAGATGACTTTGACAGTTGTCAACTAGAGGAATGGCTTCATCAGGAAGGGATCTGACTTATGATTTCTGTCACACATAAAATCATGTAGTCATTCACATATGCATTCTCTCTGAAAGGTATTCTTTGCATAGTTATCTTCTATGAAAATTATACAGATATAAATCCTTTACGCAACAGAAAGACATTTCAAATACTACTTAGCATACACTGACTATTCTAGTAAATTTTGTTAGCTCCAGACATTTAAAAGCCACACTACTTTTACCAATGCAGTTTGAAAGACCCAGTCCAGTAAGTATCTTGAAACTTCTTAAAAATATGCTTCATCACAGCACAATTCGCACATGCATGGGGGCAATGTTTATCTTTTAATCTTATATAATTCAAATACATATTTAATTATTTAGTTTGGGACAAGATATTAGATCATCTCTGTCCATCTCAAGAGGTTTAAAGTCTGTTTCCTGGGCATCTTCTGAACATTTTGCCTGGGGAACTATAAAAAGATTGAAATTTCCCCATGCAGGTCATTGTTAGCCATCTTCAAAGGTTTATCATTTTTTTTTACACAGTGTCAGGAATTAATTATACACTGAATATGTTTTGTTCAAACATATATACTTTAAGACAATAGATGTTCACTGTATTAACCTGAAATCTTACGAGTAGAGAGATTTGGTGCTATGTTTATTGTGGTGTTTAGTTAGACCTATCAGCTGTTTGGCCTCTTACTAAATTTAGTAATGCTTTAGTCTAAGCACGTTACGGACATTATCTTTATTCATTAGGTGACATAATCATCCCATTCTGTAGATGGCGTAAATTAAATAACCGGCTCACGATTTCAGGGCCAGTGAACGGCTGAACTCTGGTGAGGACTTGGGTGACCTCACTCCGCAGTCTGAGCTCTAAGGGGACCGTGAACTTTCAGAATGTGAACCTCAAGGGGAACTTAGGGGCCAGCCCTGCCCCAGTTCCCTTCCCACACCTTGCCACACATAAGTTCATTTCTAATGAACAAAACCTAAATTGTGCCCTGAAATACCCGCTGGAGATTCTATTCTTCTAACAATAGAACCTAATGCACAGATGACATGAAATTTTGGAGTTTGATGTGGCATCATCTCTGTTTTTCATAGTTTAAAAATTATTCTTTGAATTTTGAGCAACAGAGTTACTCTGGCGTCCCAGAGACTGGTGAAGGCAGTTGCAGTAGTGATGTCGATGAACTATTCATTCTTATTTCGCAGAATTTCACTATTGAATTTATCCTCATAGGAACACAAAATCTTGATGAATATGTGTAACAGATGGTAATTCTTCAGCACTGCCGAGGTAGGGGTAACTTTATGAGTTAATATTGAGCATGGCCTACCTAAGGAATTCCACACTGCCTAGAGATACACAGCAAGACCCACTTTGAAAACAAAAACAAATAAAATGTCAAGGAATGCAAATTTTTAGGCTTCATTAAGAAAATGGTTACAGAAGGTTGTACTATCCTCCAAGCATCTGTGCTGTGATTTAGCATGGACTAGGTTATTCTATCTGTGTTTGTAGCTTGTTGTTTAAAAATATAATTAACAGTTTGGAGATGCTAGCACATGCCTTTAGTCCTAGGACGCAGGAGGCAGAGGCATGAAGATCTCTGTGAGTTCGAAGCCAGCCTGGTCTACAAGATTTAGTGTCAGAACAGCTAAGGCTGTTACCCAGAGAAACCCTGTCGCTAAACAAAACAAAGCAAAACAAAAAACTCAAATTCTGAGAGTGGAGCCACAAAAATCTTGAGACAAAAAAGGGCACAGGTGTCCTTGTTGTCAGCATTTCCCTAGCTGGCTCCTACCTCATCTATTTGGATGTTCTTTCTAGGAACATCTAAATTCTTTCATTCCCATTCACTACTCATGTCCAACCTACTAATTCACAGGAAGTCTATAGCAAGGCCATGGTTCTTCTTTGAGTAATGGGAGATGGAGACAGGATGTTCCTAGGACACTTACAATCATGTAGGCAGTGTTGACTAGGAGATTCTGTTTCAAGTTAGAAGATGAGAACCAACACTGGAGTCTGTCTTCTGAAGTCCACATAGTCTATGATATATGTGTATCTGCACACATACACATATATAAAAACATCATGCACATATATTCAGCAGACATTATTTTAAAGCAGAGTACTTTTATACTAATTGAAAACTTCAAATAATATATTTCAGCACATGCATTGTCATCTCACAACTCTTCTCAGATCAACCCCATTTCACACACACACCATTTTCTATATTTGCTTTGTTTCTTATTTTTTTTTTATTTTCAAACCATTAAGCCTAATTTGTGCTGCTCAATACACTTGGATATGTGGTCTTTCACTAAGATATTATTGACATGCTGGGGCAGCAGCCAAAAAATATTCACTTATGGTTGGGACATCATGACCCACTTCAAACTCTGACATGTGTAGATCTTGTATACATTGTTTAAATGTCTGTTCACATGTTCACATGTAAAACTGTATGTCATGTTCAGAAAAGGCTGTTTCCTTGTTAGCATCTACTACCTCTTCCACAATACCCCAGAAATCATGGAGATTAGTTTTGAAGGAAGAATAGAAAGATTGAAATGGAGTTTGGGAGGGGAGGGCAGTGCAGACAAGCAAAAACAGAAAGGATGACTAATTTTAAAGATATTTTGAAGATATAATATGAAAACCTACTACTGTAGAAGCATCTTAAAATATGTACATAAACATATATATGCATATGCATAATATGAATATAAGATATTCAACAAACATATACAATATGAACATAAAACCATATATGCATATGCAAAATATGAATATAAAATGAGCCCAATATGAAGCTAACCTACAATAATAAATAAATAGTAAAGAATGGTACAAGGAAGGGGTTATTTTTTTATTTTTATTTTTTTAGATGGTGGCCAGTGAGGTCGCATAACCTCCCAAACATTACTAGTTATTGGCCTTGTTCTGGGTTACCCTCAAGAACTTGACAATAAGATCTCCCCGAAGAGGCTACATTCCTGAGTCATAGGAAATGAAGAAATTGAACTGACAGGGAAGATTCATCAATCCTGGTTAACATTGGTAGTGCTGTGGTTGATATCAGAGGACAAATGTTATCATTAATCTCACTAATCTGTGAGCATTGTGAGTTGCAATAATGACTGATTTAGCAGGAAATGCCCATTGCTGCAATAATGGCATGAATGTAATGGAGATAACCACCAATTTCCTATTTGTCTTAAGACTTATTCTAGGACATAAAACAAAGACATGGTGTGGCTATTGTGGCCCCAATGAGTTCACTTTTTTTGTGGTATTTTGTGACAGGGTTTCTCTGTAGCTTTGGTGCCTGTCCTGGAACTAGCTCTTTTAGACCAGGCTGGCCTCAAACTCACAAAGATCCACCTGACTCTGCCTCCCAAGTGTTGGGATTAAGGCATGTGCCACCACCACCCAGCTTGAGTTCACTTTTTTATCAGTAAACTTTGAATACTATTCCAGTCATGTTTATATTGAGATTTTTTTTAAAGGACATGAATCTGGGTATAGGAGAAAGGGACAAAAGTTTTGACTAATAACAGAAGCTATAGTAACTTATAGCTCCAGAAACTAATGAAAACAAAATACATATTATTTATACATTTATGTGTGCATATTTATACATACATATAATGTATGTCACTTAAGGTATGTCAGTCCACATAAGAACCCAAGTAAACAAAAGAGACTAAATAACAGACATATATGCATGTGCAGCACTCTCTTAAGGTGCCCTAATCCTATGATGTCCTCGGTCTCTATATCCCTCCCACCCAAGAAAGAAAAGAATAACTTTTGAAAAGCTTATTTTTTGGAGAACAGCGCCACAAAACTGGGTTGAGCGCACAGGATAACTTGCAATCCCTGTACTTTGGAGGTTGAGACAGGTGAATCAAGAGGCTAAGGCCAATCTTAGCTATATACCAGGTTCCAGGCTAACCTGAGCTAAATTAGAGATTATCTCAAAAAACCATTAAAGTAATAATAATGCTATGCAGTCATTTTATTTTACAATTAGAAAGATAAGTGATGTAAAATTTGTATGTCTGAGAATGTCTTTAAGGCTAACAGAATCCAATTTAAAAATTGAGGCAGGAAGAACACCATCACTGTCCCTTAGAAATATCAGAGAGTGATCTTTGATCATTCTTAAGTGATTTTTAGACATAAAACAGAGAAAAACCAGCCTACAGGACACAACTCCAGAGAAACTAGACAACAAACAGTACCCTAAGGGAGACATTTATGGATCTACATAGGAAGATGTAAAAGACAAGATCTCCTGAGTGAACTGGGAGCGTGGGGGGTATAGGAGAGGGTAGAAGGGGAGAGGGGAGGAAGGAAGGGGAGTGGAGAATAATGTATTTTATAGCTCAATAAAAACAATAAAATATATGAAAAAAATCATTTGAACAATTATACCAAAAAAGCCATGTTGGATTTTTGCTTAATTACATGGTTTTTTTTTAATTTTATTTTTTTGTTTGTTCGTTTGTTTTATCATTTAATACACAGAAAGTATAGGGAGAAAAGGAATCCATCCATCTTTTGATTCCTTTAGTATGGACAAGTGTAGTTGGTTTTTAGTAAGAATGATAAAATTGTTGACACACTTCCAAGTCTGTAGGCATCCCTAGGCCTGTGCTTAAAGCTTCAGGCTAATGCTGTGAATTATTGACTGCCAGAGTATTTTTTTTCTTCTTTTAACTTAAAGAGGAAGTGTGCGACTTATTTCCTGTTCCCAACCACTACTGCCTTTAATACACGTTACTGCCTAATACAAAACTAGGGAAGACCCGTATGCTTTGGCAAAGAGGCCGTTTGAAAGGCCAACGGCACGAACACCATAGTCTGTCAACGAATTCTGACCAGTCTTTTTTAAGGGTGCGATTCAGTCTCTCTTTACAGTCCAGAATTTCACAAACTGGAACAGTCAATTCTTCGGTCTAGATGTCTGTCTCGCCAGTAACAGTGACCCACACCACCATCATGACGTCGGTAGCGCCAGGCCTGGAGTCTATGACTATCGTGGGTTCCCCTCGGATACTGCTCCGGCCCCTGGGCCTTCTCCGTCTGCTGGAGCTGTCATCTACCTGCTTGGCTTTCTCCCTAGTGGCTCATGGAGGTGCGTGGATTGGCTCCACGGGCAACTGGTGCATGTTCTCCTGGTGTTTCTGCTTCTCCATGACCCTGATGATCCTGAGCATGGAGCTGGGTGGATTCCAGAGACGCTGCCCTCTGTCGTGGCTGAATTTCCCAAGCATCTGTGCCAGCTACGCTTTCTGCTTCTGCCTGTCATCTACCATCATCTACCCTGTCACCTATGTGCAGTTTTTAGCTCATGGAGAGGTCAGAGAACACGCTCTGAGTGCCACAATCTTCTCCTGCATCTCCTGTGTGGCTTACATAACGGAAGTGACCTGGACTCGGGCAAGGTCTGGTCAGACGGTAATCTACATGGCCACTGTGTCCGGGAGGCTGAAGGTCTTTGAGACTTTCATAGCCTGTGTCATCTTTCTCTTTATCAGCAACCCAAGCCTGTACAAAAACAGTCCTGCTCTGGAGTGGTGCGTGGCCGTGTATGCCATATGCTTCATCCTAACCATGGTGACCATCATAGTGAAAGTGGGGAATTACACCAACATTGTGCCCTTCAACTTCCCCTCCTTCTTGACAAGTATGGCCTTCCTGTCTGTCCTCCTCTACATTACAGCTGTCGTCCTCTGGCCCCTCTTCCAGTTCAATGAGGTGTTCCAGGGCCAGCCCCACAGAACAATGGATGTAACCTGTCAGTACAAGGCTCCCCACTCCGTGTGTGCCTGGGATCGCCGACTGGCAGTGGCAGTCATGACTGGTGTCAACCTCCTGGCATATATGGTTGATTTTAAATACTCTATCTAGCTGGCGTTTGTCAAGATCTAATTCACAAGGGGACACCTTGACATGCCCATGCTGCAACATCTTCGTTCTTGTTGTCTTGTATTCTCCTTCCTGTCCTTTTTCTCTTTCTGGTTTATTTCCTTCCCTTTCTCTTTCTGGTTAGTTTCTTTATCACATTCTGCTTTGTTTCTGAGCTGTCTCCATAGCCCTTTGTTTCTTTGTCCGATCTACATTTATCTATTAGTTTTCTTGTCTCTTGTTTTCTAGCCACCTCCTTCTCTTTCCTGGGAGAAGCCTCAGATTTCTTGCTGTGTCTATTCACAATTCTATTTCTAAAGATCCTGACTATCCATATCCCAGATTCGTTTGCAACTCCTCATGACAGGGTCCTAAGGGGCCTGTTGCCAAACTATGAAGAAATGTTGTTTTAGCTTTTCAGGTTTCTTCTTTAGGCACTGTTATTCTTACCTTATATGTATCATGTTCCCTCGGTTATAACTTAATTCATATTTCTAACTCAAAACATTATTGCATGTTGGTCTTTGTCTCTTTCCAGAATACCTCTTTGCTTGATTAATCACTATTGTATGGGTTTGATTTCAGATTTAATATCCCAAATCTCATATGTAATACAAAAGCATATTTTATTTCATAGGCTCAACTGGACACCACTATCTACTACACAGAAAGTTCTTAATAAATACATATATCAAAGTACTTACTTTAAAAGTCAAACATATAGCATCCACACAATTTATGTAAACACAAAGCTAATAATAGCTTCTAATAAAAACCTGCATTATTTTGATTTAAGGTAAGAAATTAAATGTGTTGTTATATTGTTGAATATATAGTTTGCTATGTATAAACACAGCATATCCATTTATTTATATGCATATATACATAGCAATGGTTCTCAACTTGAAGGTCATAACCCCTTTTGGGGTTTGAGTGACTCTTTCACATGGGTGGCCTAAGATCATAAGAAAACATGAATTTTTACATTATGATTTAAAACAGTAACAAAATTACAGTTTTGAAGTAGCAACAGAAATAATCATCTGGCTGGCATCACAATATTTACGGTATACAGCATTAGTAGGACAGAAAACTACTTATATAAGGCATTAGTATAATTCTTTATTCCTTGCATTGCTTTCTACCTATATTACTATTTCCACTGATTGATGTAGTTCATTTTGTATAACTAATGAATCCACAGCTATAATACTACTTTAAGGTTTTATATATAATAAACAGTTGGTTTTTTCACATCTAATCTTTTTCACTAAACTTAGACAAAACTAAAGTAGTTTTCATATTTTATTTTACAAGCTTATATTGGTAAACATAAAGAAGTGTTTTCTTAAATGTAGGAAGAGAGTTTTTCATATTTTTCACATAGAAGTTATCAGTATTGATTTCAACTGCTAAAGAGTTTATTATATTTTCTCAATTTTCAATATGGGACAAAAATACATAACACTTAATTATTAATGTCAATTGAGGGGAGTAAATGAAACTCTAGCCTGGACATTCTTGAGTCTATCAAAAAAACTTTAAGGCAACTCTAGGGAATATTTAAAAATATATGCAAAACTGCAAGCTATCTGGCAAGTTTACCACAGAACTATCTCCAAAAAAAAGTAGAGAGAGGTTTTGTGGATAACTTAAATCTGTTTTAAGTAAAAATGATAGAATATTATCTGATTTATATTTTAAGACTGACTTCAGCGTCCAGGAAAGGGAAAGAAAATTACTGAGTATACCATGAGAAAATCTTATAAACATAGAGATAGAAATAATATTTATTCGTGTTTAGAAGACAAATAGGATATAAAACTAGATTGCACATTCACGTATTTTCCTAGAAACGTTAGGTGCATTAGCAACTCATAGTAGTATAATGCCTGTCACCAAAATAACTTCACAAACAGGATCACACGGGATGGGGCTATAGGGACAGCATGAGCCTGTCAGGAGAGTACTTCACATAGTAGCTGAGAAGATGCTTCAAGAGAAAAAGTGATTATGGGAAGGTATTACAGCTTCTGGAGACTCACAGAAAAAAGTAAAGAAGGCAAAATGAGGAGCTAAGCCACTCAGATACTAACAATTTTGGCATGTTTTATTCCAAGGTAATCTCATTGAGAAGTTAATTTAGGTCTGTATAGTTGCTATAAGAAAGTCACCATCCGCACTACAAAAGAAACCTTACTTTGTGTTTTGAAGGACAAAAATATGCTCATCACACATGTATTTGATTGGGAGACAAAAAAGTATCAGTCTTTAGATAAAATTTGTGAATTAATAATTTATGAAATAGTAATGATAATGAGCAACTTTCCGGGAAAATATGGCTGACCAACCATCACAGTTGTTGGCCCACAGTTCTTTTAAAGCAGTGAGCTATAGGTTTGGGGATTAAATGGCAACATTTAAGGGAATTGGGTATCCAGAGAGATATCTTTCACTGAGTTTCACCTAAGAAAAAAACAAATATTTTATCATAATGTCCGTAATTAATACTTTATCAGGATAACACTTTGAAAAAATTTCTTTTTTATTGCTTTATAAATAACACCATTCAAAATTTCTACTTCTTCCCCTCCTCCCATTTCCCTCCCACTGCCCTACTCCCCCTTCCTCCTGCCCCTCTAGTCCTAAGAGAGGGCAGGGTACCCTGCCCTGTGGGAAGTCCAAGGCCCTCTCTGCTCCATCCAGACTTAGGAAGGTGTGCATCCAAACAGACTAGGATACCCAAAAGCCAGTACATGCAGTAGAATCAAATCGCAGTGCCATTTTCATTGGCTTCTCTGTCTGCCCCCATTGTCAACCACATTCAGAGAGTCCGGTTTGATCATATGCTCGTTCAGTACCAATCCAGCTGGCCTTGGTGAACTCCCCTTAGATCCATCAAACTGTCTCAGAGGGTGGACCAACCCCTCGCGGTCCTGACTTCCCTGCTCATCTTCTCCCTCTTTCTTCTCTTCAACTTGACCTTGGGGGCTCAGTCCAGTGCTCCAGTGTGGATCTCTGTCTCTATCTCCATCCATTGTTGGACGAAGGTTCTATGGTGATATTTAAGATATTCATCAGTGTGTCTATGGATGGAAATAGAAAACACTATCCTGAGTGAGATAACCCAGACCCAAAAAGATGAATATGGTATGTCCTCACTCATTAGTGAATTCTAGCCATAAACAAAAGCCTATAGTTCGTGATCCTAGAGAAGCTAAATAATAAGGTGAACCCAAAGAAACACATATAGAGAGCCTCCTGGAAACTGGAGGCAGACAAAATCGCAGGGCAAAAGTTGGAAACACGGGGAGGGTGGCGGTGGGAGGGAAGGGGAGAGGGGGAGAGAGAAGGGAGAAGGGGAGGACTGGGGAACTGGGTTGGTTGAGATGGAGGAAGGGCAGGTATGGCAGCAGGGAAGAAGATATCTTAATTAAGGGAGCCATTCTAGGGTTGCCAAGAAACTTGGCTCTAGACAGGTTCCCAGTTGCCCAAGGGGTTGTCCCCAGCTAGGTCCTTGGGCAGCAGAGGAGAGGCTGCCTGAACTGGCTTTATCCCATAGCCACACTGAAAAATTATTCCAAAGGTATTTCCATAGAAAGAGTTTCCTCAGATATTCTCATCTCCTTATAGAGACTCTTCAACGTGAGAACAAAGCTTCCAATTTACATTTGCGAAGGCTGAGGCAGAGACTGAGTGATTTGCCTTCAATAAGGTTCTATAGGGAGAGTTTAAAAGAGCCAGGTATGCGACTACAGTAGTCTTGATCTTTTCACATGCAGTACTCCTTTCCTCTGGTAAAAATTAGAATAACCAAATTGTCAATGCTTTTTTTATATTGATGCACAAGTATTTATTATTATCATTATTATTCTGTAAGAATACATTGAAATGTAACACCATCATTTGGCTGAACTGCCTGGTAATATATATATATATATATATATATATATATATATATATATATATATAATACTCCCCATTCCTCTGCAGTCATTTTCTTTATAAAATAATATATAAGAAACAAAAATATGCACCATAGCATGGTTAAAAGTCCATATAAATTTAAGGAAAATTGCTATCATTATTAGATAAGTTGGATTGTTAATTAGCTTCATTTACTCATCATGAAGATTCACAATGAGGAAATAAATTAAGAGTGAGGATGCCTTCGTTTTGGACACTGTAACCCCATCTCCAAGAATAAGTAAAGCCTTGTTTCACCTTCAGTTCTGTTTTAAAGAACAACTTCATTCCCTAAATGTATATAAAGTCAATAACTGAGTTACTATATAAATAGAATAACCTTAAAAAAGATTTATTAGCTGGGCTGAAGCAGAATTAAAATTACTAATTATACAGTATAATTTATTTTACAAACTAGGAGAATTTGTGAGGCAAATAAAACGTGATGATCCAAATTGAGCTTCTCATCAAGCTGTAGGTTCTTGACTAAAACTTGTGATTCTCCACGCAGAAAACTCATGGTAATAAAGTAATTTACAATATTTTTCAGTTCAGATATTTGATAGTTATAATTATTTAAATGTGTATAATTTTCTTGGCCTTCTTCTCCAAATATAAAAGCATTATGTGTTTAAAATATTCACATTTCTAGCATCAATATGATTTATTTTAAAAAGGACATTTAGAACTGTAAGCTGAAACACTTGGATCATTGTGTAATCTCACTTTTGGAATTTTATTTTGAATATAGAGTCACTATCGAGAAAAACAATGGCTATCTTAGCCTCAAGATTTAAATCTTACCTTCAGAAATGCTTTCCATACAAAAACAAAATCAACAACAACAAAAAAAAAACTCCTGGAAATTTAAGAAAAAATGAAAGTAATCTAAGCCATCTATTCTAAAATTGCTTTTAAAAAAACATACTATTTTTACTTTTACTATTAATTACCCATAACCTTGAAATGTTATGATTATTATCTTGTCCCAATATTCAACATTTTTTGTACTAAGTATATGCTCATCAATGCCTACAATTATGATTACTTAATAATACACGAAAATTGATGAGCTTTGTTTTGCTCTTTTTCATACTAATTGATGCATTAGGTGTGTAGGGCATTAGTGATACTTTTTAACAGATATTAACTAAATTTAAACTCAGATTTGACTTTAAAATCATGACAATATAATAACACATACTCCAAAATTGTATTTGAATGAACGAGAAAAATCTACTTGAGCTACAAAATTAGATACATTCTTCTTGTATATGGCATTACAAGATATACAAAATTATCTTTTCAAATTATTTGTACAATAATATAACCCAGTAGATGAATAACAATATTTACTGAATGAAAATATTTTAAAATAGCCATAAAGGCTCAGGTTACTTAAAATGACAATTTTGTTAAATATATTATATCATACTGTTTGTGTATTATATTCATCTACATCTGTTTTAATAGTTTGTAATGTAGAAGAATAAGCATATTGTTGTTCTAATAATGCACAATTGATTACCTTTGATGTCTAAAATTTAAAATTAGCATTTTTATTCCTTTCTCAAAATATCAATACATTTAGTTTTTCATATGAATTTCTATGTTACTCTCTGAATATATTATACCCTATCAATATCACCTAACCTATGTTTAATGTCTAAATCATTATGAATACTAAATTTTATTTACTTATTTATTTCACCTAAAATTTTTTAAATGTTTTTAATTGACCTATTTGACTTCAAATTTCTTTAATTGAATGTTAAACATGCTATTTTTATAGTCACATTTTGTTCTTTATGTGTGTGCAGTTTCCTATATTTGCAAACTTACCTTTGAAAAATTTAAGATAACATTTAAAGAAAACAAGGACTTATTCCTATGTTTAAATTTAGAGACAAGCTTGAGGTACTTGTTTCATATTTTATAGTGAATATTGGCAAGATATAACAGAAGCTAAATAAATTGGCAAGGGTCAAAATATTTGTAATTTTAGAGAGTGAATAAACACATGTGTGGAGAAAAGAAGAAAGCTCACAATAATATCTTTAAGGAGAAATATTAGTAAAAACATCAATAATAACAGTTGTTAAAAGATGAAGGCGAAACTTCTATAACCAGCTGGTATAGGAATACTTGGAACTAGAAGAAAACATTTCAAGCAATTAAATCATGACAT